ATCAGAATAATGGAAAGGAGTTCATGTTTCATACTGCCCTGCTTAAAGAACTGTGTCTTCAAAGCTGGCGACTTCCTACTGAACACAGCTAATGAAATGTCTCAATTTACGCCCATGTGAAGCAAAGAGAATTAGTTGTGCACAATACAAAAATAACTAGTCATTTTTAACCTAATGTAGCAAGTAACGGCCTCACACACAGTCACTGCTGCCTCATTTCACACACAGCCTGTGATGACACTTACCTCAGAGGTTCCTGTGGCAAATAAATGATGGACGGGGTTGATGTCGCACACATTGTTTTCTCTGGTAAGAAAATCAAGAAAAAGAGGATTCAGGGACATCAGCTGGGATCATTTAATATGAGATTGCACCAAATTCTTAAAGTATCAATGCACTTAAAAGCTGCCAACAGCGAAGGAAAACACTTTGCTCGACTTACACGGCATCAGTCTGAAGTGAGTTGAGGAAGCGCCCTTGTTCCAGGTTCAGTCTGAACACCTCTGAACTGAAAGTACAAAAAATAAACAATGTCAGCGGTGTGGCTCAACCAGCTTACTAAAAACACAGGTCTCAGTATATAATGTTTAATCATATTCTCACCTCGTCCCTACAAAATACAGGTCACAGGAGGGATAGTGATAAGAAAAGTCCCGTCCAAACTTTGGAATACGTGTCTTGTAGTAGTGTCCGTGTTGGGAGTGGAACTCCACGTAGCGGTTGCATTGTAGAAACACCAACTGCACACACACAGACACACAAAACAAGTTGTGAATTTAAATTTACACTGCGATAATTTCAGGGAGTTTGGTTTGACATACAATTTAACTTCATTATCTTTCCAAAGTGAAACCAACCTACTGAACTATTTATCAAGATACTACAAAGTCTACCCAACGTTTTCCAAAACACCCAATAGAATATGTAGTGAAGAGAACTTTTACCACCATTTAAGCTATATAATGTCTTTAAAAAGATGTTTTCCACATTTTTACAACACTCAAAACTATGAACAAACATATATGGAATTTTGTAGTAAACTAAAAAAGTATACATCATATTTCAGTTTTGTCAAATGAATCACTGTTGCTCCTATTGGTAATATGTCAACCAGCATCATGGGGTCATCACCTGGAATGATTTTCAGTTAACAGGTGATCTAAATGAGATCAGTGTTTGACATAGATTGATTTATTTGTGGCGCTGTGGCACAATATCAACATCATCCACCACATATTGATTTTCTATTTTGTTACTGGTAAAAATAGTAATATCTTATTTGAATGTAGAGCTTCACCCTGCTCTCACACTGTCTCCTTCCCAAGATGCTTTGGGAATAGTTCCTCCTCTCTGTGAACACTGACTCAAAACATGACCACGCTCAGGAAGAAGGTCGTTTGTTGGCAGAGTTTTCAGAGACCAAACTCTTCAAATAAGTTATTAGCTAGAACTGAAGAAGCCTCGCTATTAAGGATAGCCGTTAGTAGAATACAGCTGGGTGGTGGAGGTTAGCACACTGTTCAGAGCTTCTAGTCAATATCAACAACTCGTGCAGTGGATAATGTTAATGTTAATTTACACTGAACGTTTGCTTCCTCCGTCTGGATGAATATTGAAAAATATTTCCAAAGGCTCAAAAGAGCCTGTCCTAAGGAGGAGTAAAAGCAGCCTGCACCATTTGTTTCTCAGAGATCTAACACAAAGCAAAGCAATGGAGCTGCATGTATAGTTCAGTCACTTATTTGTCCTGAAGTATTTACCAATAAGAGACTTGAAGTGAAGCACCTTATATAGTGTTGCTTAATAATTAATTTCAGAAAGCATGACATGCCATTGCTATTTAGTTTCTTCGACGGATGACATGACAATACACTTATAAACAATAATCCTAATAAACCAAATGCAGCTAATGAATGCAAACATAATGCCACAGATGTCAAATTACACTATTCTAGCAGCATGGACAAAGTGCTGAAAAAAGTCTTACCTTAGAGTAGTCATCAGACAGAACATCAAAGGCCACAACTGGGAGAGAGAGAAAAATAATAATCAGAATTAATCAAGTACATGAAGGCAGATTAACAACTGGGTGTATATTTCATTTTACCATCAGAATCCAGACAGCGCTCAAACTTCAGGGACAGCTGATAGGTGTCGTAACAGCGAATCCTGGGTTTGTACGTTCCTGAAAAAGATGAAATCAAAACCTGAATATTCATGAAGTGTAATGCACAACTTAGATAGGAGACTTTGTAAGATTTAACCATTCATTTCAGAATGACATGCAATTGTGTTTGGCGATGACTCTGCTTAAGTGATGCTCTGGAACAATCTGAGCAGGAATGACACAGTCCCTGAGATCACAAACCCACCAGCTGAGCCTGAGATTCACAATGTTCAATGAACACAGTATGCACACTAAAACGAGGAGACCAACTTAAACTGTGCTGACTTTACAAAATCCACTTTATATAGTTTTAAGCTAAAATTATGAATCATCTGTGTTCAGTCCCACAAAATATGAGAAACAACCATTCCCTTTATTCTTTCTTCCACTACAGATTAGAAAGTGTGTCTCTGAGCTCCCAGCTGCTCCTCGTCTTCTTTCTCTCTGGCACTGACTGAATAGAGGAGATACAGAGGTGTGCTGCAGCCCTTTTTGTAAAATTGTAAGAGTTATGATATTGAACCTTTAGAAAAGAGGAGGAGGGGGTGATTTGTGGATGTGTAGAGGCTGGTGTAGCAGCGATGTGGTGAGTGTGGAGCAGACAGAATGAATGAACGCAGCCTTGGTTTTAACCAGTTAAGTGGGTGAGCTGGACTTTAGTGAATGATTGGACAGAAAAGGGCCTTGTGACACCCTAACTGTGCCTGTCTGAGCTAACGCAAGAGTTCCATGTCGTGTTACCTGCTGCCAGGACGAACTGACCATCCCTGGACACTTTGATGGAGGTGCACACTGTGGGCATCTCAAAGTCCTGGATGAGCTCAATCCTGCGCTGGATGTCTGGAAAATAAGAACAGAAAGTCAGAACAACGACAAACACGATGGAGAAAATTAAGCAGGCTGAATCTTTAGCTGACAACTCACCGACATCACTCTTTTGTAGCTGCCTTTTCTTCCGATCAGACAGCCACTGCAGAAACAAGACAGAGCTGATTAGGATTTGCTATAATGAAGGCTGAAATGAGAAGTCCTAACTGATGTTCCACAACATCGCTAAGTTTCTTTTTAACATTCAGCAACACACCACCCTGATGCAACCGTTAATTAAAGTACATCTGGCATAGTCATTTCCTTAATATGCACTATTAGAGACACTCTTCTCACTGCTAACTGTGTTAGCTTGCTAGCTAGACTCAATGTAAGCAGTGGGTTTACATGTTAAGAAATAAACCGACGCTTCAGGAGGAACGCGTTACCTCTGGAAGAGACTTTCCGTGGCTCAAATTATAAATCTTCACATCGTTCACACTGGATATCTGCATTGTTGACAGTCAACGGGACTCTGGTCACACATAACACAGCAGCTACACACCGGTGGACTCAATCCACGTTGTTTCAGCGGAGCAAAAACAGGAAGTAGAGGTGGGTTTTGGGAAATAGGTCCGAGTAGAAACCAAACTGGCGGCACATAGTTCCTACCATCTCCTCCGTTCTGGGTTGAAGTGTTCAAAGTAAATATAATATAATATAATATAATATAATATAATATAATATAATATAATATAATATAATATAATATAATATAATATAATAGTAAGTCACATCAGCAGCACCTCTTAACATAAAATCAGCTAGTTTGCATTTAATAAAGATAATGATGCATTTTTATTTTTTGTTAGATATTACATTATTGGATTAGACAGTGGTTCATATTTGCTCTGACATCGGGGCTTTTCTCTCACAAATCCTACACTCTCTCATATTACAAATAGATATTTTTTCTTTTTTTAAAAATAAACAAATAAATAAAAATAATGGGTTACACTCTATATGACTGCAAACTGTGAAAAAAAAAACAACAACAACAAGAAAAAACCCTGTACTGTCAAAATATTCTATCAGTTTGGATAAAACTTTTTTTCTTTTTTTAGGTTTCCTCATAGATTGATTCATAGACTGTACGATTTACCCTTTTAATGAAACTCATTTAACAAGCTACTAAAAGTTGTATTTAATGCAACACATAAATAGCAGCGCTTTGCCTGAGCCATGTCATTAGGTCAGCTGTGTTGGCTAACTTCACTAATTAACAGTCATGACATGACAAACTGTACTTAATGAAAAAAAAACAAAAAACAACAGGTTTTTAATAGTTTTCAAATGTATGGAATAGTTAAAAATAACTAAATAGATAAAATAACATGGCAAAACAACCAAAGCTAACTTTAATCTGAATAGGTCTAATGCACCAATGTTACAGTTTTAAAATAGTTCTCATAAATAATGCAAATGTGTTTTAAAGCACAGACAAACTGAAATGTCAAATTCATCTGTAAGTTTGAGGAACATACAGCGGGATAACGATGCTGCAAATTGCTGTTTAAGTAGAAATCTCCTGCAGTGATGTAAGAGCTGCCTGTGACAGACAGCAGAGGACGGCAGGTTGGCTGTCAGTCAGGGTCAGGTGGAGCCGCTGCTCAGACTCGCCTCCACTCACACAGGGACTGTCACTGGACGGTCATGAAGATAACCTGAAGGTAAGTCCTGCTTTGAAAGGTTGTTTCTTTTTTCTTTAAAAGCTTCTCATACTTAGTTCTGTGTATCCATTATTAGGGAAAATTGTAACATGATCTGTGTGGAAAGAAAAGTTAATACATTTAAAACAGTTTAAAATCAGGATGTCTTTTCTTAAAGTCAGCTCAGTATCAAAGTCTATGCAGTAATAATAGAATTAATTTCACTTTATGTTTGTTTGCTCTGGGTCGCAGTCTATTCGGTGCCAAAGGTGGGGAGGATTTTTGAGTGGAGGTCTCTATGTGAAGCTCTTGGAGTCATGACAGACTTTTGGTTGATTTCTGTCCCACTGGACAAGACCAGTTTAACCAGTGTAGAGAAACTCAAGCGCACCGTTGCCAAAACCAACCTGGCCTCCTGCTGCAAGTTCTCCATTCCAGATCTCAAGGTGAGGTTGAGTATCGTCTGTCCCGGTGAAGAGCCCGAGGGAGCAAAATACCATCAAACTGAGTAAATATACACATAAGAACAAAACAAGAAAGCACCTCTCTTCTTGAGGACGCCAGTGCCAAAAATAAAGAGCGAGAATTGTTAGTTCTGTGTTTATACCAGTACAGTAGGGTGTAGTTGAGGAGAGTGATGGTGTTTGGTGTCCTTCTCTGGTGAAGGGATAAAGGCTCAGGTTGCTCTCTACAGTTTGAGGCAAAATTTCCATCTGACCCATTTCACTCAACGTGATCAATGTTCACCCTGGCTGACAGGAAGTGCATTTTAACCGCTGCTGTTTAATCCTATGAAGAGTTCAAACATGAAAACCTTGTGGTAAAATATGGTATTGAATGTGGACTGAATCCTAGAATCCAGTAAGTTCGCAGCGATGATACACGACTGTTGCTCAGGTTTAACCATTTGGGTTCTCTGTGATATCAGATGGATGATACATCAGTATCATCACAGTAACATTAACTGCGCTGTCTATGCTGTGACCTCAGGTGGGAATACTGGACAGTCTGCTTAGTGTGTCAGATGATCTCTCCAAGCTCGACACGCTGACGGAAAGGTAATAAAAGTCACCTCGAATAGTGACCAAGCAATCTGAATGTGCTGCCCTTGCTCTGTTTATGTGCACGGAGTCAGTTTGTTTCAAAGGTCATTGTGTGTTTGTAGCTTAATATGCAGCTTTGTCCCTCATTAAGGCCAGTAACTCTGAGCTTGCGTGCGGTCTGTTCCATGATTAATTGATGGTCAGGGGCAGCTGACGGTTAGTTTTCCCTCTTAATTTTAAATTCATCGTTGGTGCATCTGAGCTCACGTGTAAATGGGAAGGTTACTGACTCTTTGCAACATCAAACTAGACAGATTTCATTAAGAGTTCAGCGCAAAAGATTAAACATAGTTTGATTTGTTGCTTTGTGAATTCTGTCTTCAATCAAAGGTCTTTACATGGATGAATTAAACCCTCCACATGAGTCCACATTACTAATTCATTGTGTATGTTGGTGTCAATCATGGGAGAACTTGGGGAAGAGAGATTTCTAGGAAAGAGGAAGCTGTTTAAATGGCATGTAAACACTCTAATAATGGCATTTTTCCTGTCGCTTCATCAGTGTGATCAAAAAAACATGTCAGTGTATGAGGGAGGTGATGGAGCAGTCGAGTGACAAAGTGCTGGAAAACGCCTTAGCCAATGGAGGTGAGTCACACACTAATAATGCTGAGGGTGTTAATTACATAGTATAGAAGCTCATTAAGTAAGTGCAAAAAGCCACAGTCCACGTGCACATTGCAACTGAGAGCTTCCACCGAGCTCCATATGCACAACACAGCCCCACGCCGATCCCTTTACTCTGTAGTAGCCTCATGCATGCAAGCAGTAAAACAAGTCAGCAGCTGCACAACACAAACCAGCCTAACCAGCATCTGTGATCACTCTCCTCCATCAGACCACAGCACGAATCAGAGAGCCGCCCTGTTGCCCCTGAAAGCTTACCTCAAGTCTCTGAGGGGTATTTAATCCGCTGCCAGTTTGCTCTCTGAGTTGCTCTGCTGTGCCGTGTGAAAGAATGCATTGTCACACATTTCCGGAGTGCCTCTCGTCCTCTTGTTTTCCTAATCCTGTGCCGTTGTGTGGTGTTTATAATTACGCCATTTTGGGCTGTTATGGGTACGGCATGACTTTCTCTGTGTGTGTTTTTCTCAGTGGACCTGATGAGCTACGTAACCAAGTTTCAGTGGGACAAAGCCAAGTACCCCACAGCTCTGCCTCTCTCCAGCCTGGCAGACATCATCAGCAAGGTACAAACCCATGAGACTGGAAGTAATAAGTATATAAATGATGTGTAAACATAGTTAAGATGGCTCATTATTACCCTGAAGAGGTGCTTCAGCAGTTTATTATTGCACTTTTTACCAAATTGTGAGATAAAATAAACAGTGAAAGTCACAGTAAAGACTTTATAGCCATAGTATTGTGACATATAGTAGTTACAAGAGGGGCTCAAATAAAATCATTCACATGTCATTAGAACTGTCTGTAGTGGATGTGGCTGAGCAAATAGTGCACAGTATGCAGCTGTAGAGAGATATAGAGCGACATTGAACTGAACTGTTCATTTTCATCCACATTAAATCAGGATGAGAAGGGGGAGTTGTTAATTAAATGAATGAGACCTCAACCAGTGTAACTACTATACATGAAAACCTTCTTCTCCAAAGAACTTACTCTGCTCGCGATATGTTAGTGAACAGTCACATGTTCAGTGTGGCAATGTGCAGGGTTAACTAGCACCCCAAATCAAGGAATTTACAATTAGTTCAGGATGCAGTAGCACAACTTGGAAAATGTGTTCTTTGTTTCCTAAAGTAAGAATGGTAAAAGTCAAAGCAGCAGAGGCCAAAGCATCCTGACTTTTAGTCCAAAAACATTGGTTCCTCTAATAATACAACTTCACAGCATCTTTCATGACACCTTCCTTGTCAAGTAAAATCCACACTAATTCAAACTCCAGCACCTTTTGTCCCACAATACAAACTTCAGTACCTCAACCTCAAGTCCAAGATGGCTTTATCAGGGTTAGACATTATACAACTGTTTTCACAGTGCTTCACAGATGTAGTCCTCATGTCATAGGAAACTGCATTTGACATGAACAGCATATTTGTGGAACATACAAAAACTCTCTGATGTCCAAGAATCATGAATGACGATGATATCGAGGAATTTTCACAAGATTTAACAAAATATGTTTAAATTGAATCAAAATAATGAACATTTTGCAATTTGTGCATGAGAGAAGCATGGATACAGAATTACTAAATGTCCCTATATATATTAAGAGGCATATAATTCAGGGTAAAAGAAGGAATGAAAGAAGCAAAGACATTATTGTGTCTGCATTTTGTGTTTTCCCTTATAAAAACTAAAAACATTTCCAGCATAAATTGATGCAGAATAGACAGAAATTGGTGCATAAACATTCCAGGAAATTAAGTATTTGATGTTCCAAATTTCATCAGGGGAAAACACCTGCTTAAAATGTCAAAATCTGCTCCCATGAGTACATCATATACTTACTTCTAAAGCTTATACAGGCTGTTAATACCTGCATGTGTGTCAGGAAGTTTCCCAGGTGGAGACAGAATTAAAATCCCGTGCTGCAGCGTACAACAGTGTGAAAGTGAGCCTGCAGAGCCTTGAGCACAAACTAGAGTGAGTAACTTCTATTTCACATTAAGCAAAAATACAGCATCGTGTTCACTGTATATACTGAAGTGGATTAACTGTCTTTCTAGAGGGAATTTGCAAACTTGCAGTCTGAATGACATTGTGAGGAAAGAGGACCTGGTGGTGTCAGAGTACCTCACCACTCTCCTGGTAGTGGTGACCAGGTCGGTAACATAGCAGGTCTGTGTGTGCATATTCCAGTGATGTTCATTATACTTAAATGTGTTTTTGCTCGTATTTTTGATGGCAGAGGGAGCTACTTGCAGTGGGAGAGGACCTATGAATCCCTGTCAGAGTTTGTGGTTCCGCGGTCTAGCAGGTGAGCCGTCTTTACGTCGTCTTGGCCATGAAACAAACCATTCCACTTGATCCATGTACAAGTGCACCGGCAAAGCCCTGAGTACCTGCTCTCAGCGTCCAAAAGGTCAGGCTAAGTAACCACAGGTGTCCCATTACCAGCAGAAAGTAAAAGTCTGTGTGGCTTGGATCAGCAGCGGGGACGGAAATTTTCTTTACAGAGGACAAAGTGTAGCTGGTTGAAGTTTTTATTATTTAAACGTCTTCTGGCATCGTGCCAGAACAATATTAGGGTACCTTACATGAAAAGCTCTTTGAAGACACCTAAAACAGAATAAGACCTATGTTGTTGGTCTACACTGTTTAGCATCTTAGCATGTTAACATGATAACATTTTCCAGTCAGCGCTAAATACAAAGTACAGCTAAAGCTTATCCAAAAACACACATACAAAAAAACATCCCCAGAGGTAAACAAATGTCACTAAACAAACATGGCTGCAATTAACCGCAACAAAAAAGGCTTCAGCATTAACTATAGATAACAGAAATCAACACGCTTCCCAATATATACGGCAATCTTAAAAGACAATTTACATCTACTGTGCTATAACTTTTGTCTCCCAAAAATATATAATGTGTATGAAATATATCTCAAGTACAGTGTTTGCTTGTAGCATTTCAATTGTATGAAATTAAGACTAAAACCATTTTCTAGATTTTCATGATCATTCTTTGATTTCTAATTCAAATGCCTAAATGCAACCAGCTTTATTAGAGAATGCTGCAACTGCTGTACATTTCTCCACCAGAATACACTTTTACAGCGCATCAATATCGCCCACCTTTTGTTTGCACAATGCAGCATTTATGTCAGAGTTCCCACAGACTGTTAGTTTCCTGTTTGTAGATAGTATTTAGGTCAAGATCCAAGTTATGGTTCTAACTAGAAAAGTTAAATTAGGCCTATTCAACCTGGTGCTGTGATGTGGGGAAGGTGAAATGGCATTTAAAAAAAAAGAAATCTAGCTCATATTTTAGTCTTTCTATTTTGATTTGGATATTAAAATAACTGAAATCTGCAGTAGTAAGTGAGAAGATTTCCTCGTATCACTGTTTGAATTAACCAACTTGCAAATTCCGTTCACTATCCTGGTTAATTTTTGCCATATATATATTTTTACACTATTGGACACTTTGATTTTTGATATATATAGCATGTATTACTTGTCTGTTTTATTCTTTCTTCTTCTTCTTCTTATTTTTCGTACATTTCACTGCGTGTTATACTGTGTATAATTGTGCTTGTGCCAAATAAAGGTCTTGAAACCTTGATTATGTGAATCAAGTCATAAATGTGAATTTCCTACTTTCTTTCCACATGTCATAAACACAACAAAATAGCTTTATTTTTTTATTTTTGTCGGCTTCACTTGTTGCTGCAGGTTGTCATGTGCTGCTCCAAACTTTTCTCATCCTTTTGTGTGACCACCAGGAAGCTGCTGGAGGACGGCGAGGGCGGGATCTTCTCGGTGACGCTGTTCAAAAGAGCTGTGTGTAAATTCAAAGCCAAAGCGCACGAGAGCAAGTAAGCAGGATGGCTTGCCAGAAAATACACAGTCGAGACAAAGCTGTGTTGTCTGTGTCAATTACCATAGTGTAGTCTATGATTCACACAGGTTCATCGTGCGCGAGTACAGCTTTGATCTGGAGGAGAAGAAGCAGCAGGAGATGAAGCAGCTTAGCGTTCACAAAAAGGAGCAGTATGTGAGTCAAACATTACGTATGCTGTCTATAGAGTTTTTGAGATGTTTGTGTTGTAATGTATTATAAATGTGCATGCCTCCTCCACAGGGAATCTTTGTACGCTGGCTGAAGGTGAATTTCAGTCAGGCTTTTATTGCCTGGGTTCACTTGAAAGCACTGAGGGTGTTTGTGGAGTCAGTCCTCAGGTCAGTGATGAAAACATCAGTGGTTTTCTCACAGCATTAATCTAAAATGACATGATGTGTGTGATCTGACTCATATTAACGTCTTCCCGTCAGGTATGGACTACCTGTGAATTATCAGGCTCTTCTCCTGCAGACTGACACGAAGCACTCAAAGAAGCTGAGAGAAGAACTTTCCTCGCTGTTCAAGCACCTGGACCCCACCGCCAGTATGACAGATGTAAGAGGCCAAACTGACCTTCGCTGATTTATGTTGATCATTACTGTGTCATCATTACACTAATTTAATAGGTTATAAAGGGCAGAAGAAAAGACACAAACATCCAAAGTCACACACCAGAAGGAGTGATAAGATAATAGTACATTATAAGTCTACCAGACTATGAGCAGGATACTTATATAGAACTAGGAATTACTTGTTCCGTCCTCATTTTGTGCAACTTTATACATTCACCTTACTATATTTCGGAGCCAAATGTTAAACTTGATGCTCCATTAAATTGACATATCAGCTAAAAATGCTTTACAGATTGCAAATTAGACGTGCAGAAGTACAAAATATTTGACCATTTTAATAAAAAGTAATGCATAGATACTTCTCCTCCATAGCAAGGCTTTGCATTGCCGAGCACACATGACAGATTTACATATCTATCTGTATTTGCATAAAATAGTGATGCCATTACATGCATTATCCACCAGAGAGCACTAACAAGTTCTCAACTGTACTCTTGTACATTTTCACCATCCTTATCCAAGTGATCTTTATAAAAAAAAAAAAGTTGTCTATGTTATGCGTTTCAGTTCATAAATATCAGCAAGTATATATGTAACTTTGAAAAGTCATGAGGTTTAAAAGTTAGAGAAAAATTAGCTCTATGATGATCATCCATCCATCCATTATCTATACACCGCTTAATCCTCACTGGGGTTGCGGGGAGCCTGGAGCCTATCCCAGCCGACTTAAGGGGACACCCTGGACAGGTCACCAGTCTATCACAGGGCCACACTTAGAGACAGACAACCAAGCACACAAACATTCGCACCTTTAGAATCACCTATTAACCTCAACATGTTTTTGGACTGTGGGAGAAAGCCGGAGAACCCGAATGAAGAAACTCCACACAGAAAGATCCCGGGTGTCCTCAGCTAGACGCGAACCGGCGACCTTCTTGCTGCGAGGCAACAGTGCTACCAACTGCACCACCTTGCAGCCCTCTATTATGATCAGCTGTGACATGAGAAAAAAAGTTGCATCTGAATGCACAGTAATTATAATAATTCAAAAATACTTCATTGGAGAATATTGTGGAGCACCAAGCCCCTCCATGGGCTGTGTGATCATCGGCAGATAAAGGAGGTGGCTGAGATGCGGAAGTCCTACCAGTGGCTGAAAGAGGTTCATCTTAAGCCCTGTGCAGAGGTTCTAGTCAACTGGCCCTGAGCACCAGAGCCATAGAGGTGCAGCAGTGCCCAAGGAGCAGGCTTTTAAAGAGGCCCCTGAGACAGTCCAGCCCATAGTAGCAGGAGACAAGATTAGAGCTGGGACGCATCACCAAATGGCTGGGATTGTGTTCTGACTATGGACTAGAGTTGAAGAGGACAGAAGAACAAAGAGCTTGTAAGACCTCTAGTTCCACACTTCCAAGCAGCTGCTGGCTAACTAACTAACCTGACATCATGGTGGTTGACAAGGAGCAGAAGAGGGCAGTAGTGATAGATGTGGCAGCCGGCAGTAACACCAGGAAGAAGGAGCATGAGAAGGACGAGAGGTATCAGGGGCTGAAGGAACAACTGGAACAGATGTGGAAGGTCAAGGCCAAGGTGGTCCTACATGTAATGAGAACATCAGAGGCTGTGACCTTCAAACTGAGATAAGAGGCTCCGGCAGACTCCAGTTACAACAATGAGATCTCTTTCCAGAAGAGTGCAGTCCAAGAAACGTATAAGATGATGTTTACCAAGGCTTCAGGGAGACACTATGCTTTTAGTGGTTGTTCACATGATGCATCTTTTCTTTGAGTTAAAGCCGCTTCAATCATTTTTTTGTGATGTAGAATGTAGATCAATTTGCAATTAACTGTAAAGTGGTAGATGTAGAGGTGAACTTAGAAGTATCTGTCACCAACTCTCCAGTTGTTTTGGTTTTACAGCCCCCATCTTTACTGTTTGGTTCACTCTTGTAGCCATAAAATATATCCAGTAAACCTCACTACCTATTCAGAAGAGCTAAAAAAGAGCTTACAACAGAGCTAAGAAAAGAAAAGTTACATTAACCAGATAACTTTTTATAAATTTAAATTTGTTGTAGATGTTTAGATAAAGCAACTGTATGGTAAAAAGTTCACCAAAAATCATCATTTAATGCAGACTTTGGTATTTTATTTTCAATTCAGGACTTTAGGTACCCTAGTAAAGACTAAGTGGTGTATATATATCGGATGGATGGACTTTTAGTTCATTTCTAAGATTTCTAGGTGCTTTTCCATGTACATAATAATTTGACAATTGTCGAAAACATCCTCCACTACTGCCTACAGCCAATCATCAAATATTTTTTTTATTTCGCCTGTTTCTTGCATCTGGTGTTTGGAAGGTTCCTCGGTTTACTTGACTGTGGCCAAACAGAAAACAACTCAACACTAATTTTATTCAGAACCTGCTTGTGGTGAATGGAGGAATCTGGCATTGCTGTTTTTTTCCACTTCCAAAAGACCAATGACAGTGCAGCAGAGTGTTTGTCCAGATTTCATGTTGAAGTCTGAATGAAGAAAATACTGTCAACCATCTGCCAAGATGACATTTGTCTCATGCATATTCCTCCATGGCCACAGGGAGAAAAGAGAAGTTTTGGCTACTGTACTGCAGACATCTTCACTGAATAAATAATAATATATAAGGGCAAGACAAGTATAGTACATCATATATAACACAGACTTCAACTTGCTCGGTGCTCCTCGATGTTCAGTTTTCGCAGGTTCGACGTATATGTGATACTGTTTTTCTGTCTTTTGTGCCAAACAGGTGAGCTGTGACATCCCAGGACTCTGTCAGCAGGAGTACTTCTCCTACATCTGTTTCCATATCAGCACCAACGTGTTGGAGATGAGCTAGCAGTCGGAGGCGCGACTGCCAAATCAAAGAGGGCCTCATCACACATGCTGGGGCTTGTTCCAGTCGGTCGCAGCCAGAAACAGAGCTTCATCGCTAAAATAAAACACAGCTAGCAGAGAGCATATCCTTGAATATCTTGGTTTTTCAACATTTCTCTTGAGCCAGAAAGAAGTGACTTTTTTGGGGGGATGGTGGTGTAAATAATCCTGTCAGTGGATGGATTTGAGTCCTCTTCAACACAATGCCAGCCGCACATGGACTACACTTCATGATGTGCTGCACGTGGAATTGTGGAAACATTTAAACGTGTTTAATATCTGAAGAAGTTTTCTTCGGGGATGTAAGAACATGTACTGTAATTGTTAATGTCAGTGTACAGCTTCAAACATTTTAAGTGAACACATTATTCTTAGAAATCTTACAGCCATCACACTAATAAAGGGGATTTTCTTCATTCACTGCTGCATGTTATTCACAAAACCAACTGTATTTTGGAATGAATGGATATCATGACTGATGATTTTCAACTCATATTTGATCAAAGTGTAACAAGCACCAATACCAGAATGCTCCTTTGCAAATCCTGACATTGAAATCTTAACTACTTGAAGTTATAGCCCCCATTTTTTATGATGTTTCTGATCAACATTTTTCAGGATTTGTCATTCTGTGTATGTACGTTTAGTCTACATCCAGAGGTACTTTATATTGTTTGTGGCAGAATCCACCTGTAGTTGCTAATATCACCTACAACCAGGTGACCTGCAATCAACCAGAAGTGAAATTTAAACTGATTACAACAGTACAAAAGTATTTTATGGACCCTTGTGACCTCTGTTATTACACACACCAATCTGCCACAACATTAACCTTCTAATATTATATATGTCCCCCTCATGCCTTCAAACCAGCTCCGACTAGTTGGGACTGTGACGTTCGCAGTGGATTCATTTGTGGGTTGTGGTTTAGGCCTCCGTGGTGCACAGGGATCTGTGGAGTTTTGAGGCTGGGTCAGCACCTTGAGCTCTTTGTCATATTCCTGCAGCAGTTTTTACTGTGTCGTGGTACGCTGTCCTGCAGAGGAAGGCTGCTGGCATCAGGGAACACGGTTGCTGTGAGGGGTGTGCTGTGCCTGCAACAACAGGTGGGTGGTAAGTGTCAAGGGAACATCCACATGAATGCCAGAATGCAAGGTGTCCCAGCAGAACATTACATTCTAATGAGATGTTCAATGTTAATAAACTCACCTGTCAGTGCATTACATTATTATACTTTTGATTCAGTTGTATTTTATGGTGGAACTCTAACAATTTTGCACATCAAGTCTGCTTACACATCTTTGAAAGCATTAGAAAATAGTGAGATAATTGGCAAAAAAAAAACCTGTGTGGCTCCAGATGGAGGTGTGTGATTAGAAAAACAGTGCTCACTAGACTTCACCAGCACACCCCTCCTCTGTTCAAGGCCAACTGCTAGAGTAGAGTAACACACCTGAAGACTCAACTCTGGTGCTGCATTGAAGGCAAAGTAGGCACACAGGTTTTGACAAGAAATAATGTGTCACTCATTTTGTATTTTTTTAAACTGTCTATTATTTTAACAATGTCACAGAAGTGGAATGCTACATTGGTGGAGCAGCCTGTTAACACACAAGCTAAACCTGAGATGTTGTGTGACGATTAACAAAAGCAAAGGTTTGCTGCATGCATTTGCTTTCAGTTTTCTCTATCTCCTTAAACATTCTGGAGTTTTCCCTCCTTTTGGATTGAACAGTTTTACTGCGCAATGAGTAAGTTCACAGGCTCGCTTGTGACGAAAGACTGCCGTCACTAGAGGTCAGTTAAAATGGTAGATTGAAATTAAAACCAACACACCCTTTAGTTTTTAACAAGGTTTATTGAGTTAGATGTTGCGATCTGTTTGTTCCTTTGTGTGTTGGAGTACATGATGGGCAGCTGGGACGCCAAGCAGCGCCATCTTGGTCTTTACCTGCGAACACAAGGAGCAGCTAATTCATGGCAGTAGATGGTACAGTGGAAAGAAGAAGGCTGAACTAGTTTAAGCAAACTGTGTAACATTTCTTGTTACTTACTTGATAGTCTGACAGCATAAACTTACCTACGCCCATCTAGTTCCTCTGAGGGTGTCCAGGCAAAAGTCCTACCTGGGGTTAGGAGGCACTTTATTAGTTCCAGGTGGGAGGTACCATGTGGAAAGTGGGTAGAGGGGGGCGTTTCATTTCTAGTTGTGTAATTCATTATTTAAAATATTTAAGGTGATATTTATTAAAGCGGGTTTAGGTCGGTTTACACTTATTTAGAGTATACTTGTAGGTGGTAATGGGTTTTACGTAAATGTTTATTATGCATCTTTGTGGGTGTGTTTAGGGTTTACCTCTCATGTGGTAGGTACCTGATAGGCACAGGGTATTTAACCTGATGGAGGGAAGTGCCAATGGGTTCTTTTTTTTTTTTTTTTTGTATTTGTTTAGAGGAACATGCTGATGTACTGTCTGGCATTATGGTGCACAAAACAACAATGAAAGTAAAATACTAATGTGCATCTTCTTGGATTCCCTGGTTTCTTCATTGGTGGCCTCTGCAAGTTGACAACACTAGAAATGACTTTTATCCTGGTTTTGGTGTTATTAGATTGTTTTTCATCGCCCCCACCATTGTTTTTCAGAGTTTCCTGGAACCCGGTAAGGCCTTTACTTGCCACTGTATTCTCATTTCCATGTGACGATTCCAACATATGCAGTTTTGTTTCTGAAACCAGGATTTGAAGCTTATATGCGCAAAAGACCTAAAAAAATGTAAGCAAAATAGTAAATAAAACATATCCAGATTGTAAATTAGAAGTACAAAATATCTGAATAAAAAGTAATGCACAGATAATTCTCCTCCAGAGCAAGGCTTGCATTACAAGGCACGCATTACAGATTTACATATATTTGGCATAACATATACTTGAATGCTTATCAAAAACAGTGATGCCATTACATGCAGTTACTTTCCATCACTGAATGCTATGCAGTACATGGTCACCAGAGAGTGCACTGTCTCCAGTTCCATTGCATTTATCCTTATTGCAATTGATGTTTGATTTACATGTCAGAAGATTTCCTTTAGTTATTAGAAAACTATCAGTTCTGGTAAGTGATTGTTGAATTAATTCCTTTCCATAATGCAGAATGTGCCATATTTTTATGTAGTTGACTTATAGGTGAACAATGAAGTTGTAACAACCGTGTAAAATAAGGAATAGTTTTTCTGCTTTATAAGGGAAGCAGTAATTAATGGTGTTCTTTTAATTAGTGACTGAACTATCTTTACAACCAAACAGGTGCACTGCATCACAGCAGACGCTTGACGTGAAGAGAAAGGTCTGCGAGTGGATGGTGTGGTCTTCTACGTGTGTGTGTGTGTGTGTGTGTGACAGAGAGGGAGAGAGGGAGAGAGAGATGGGTGTTAGGGAGAGGTAGGAAAAGCGGGCTGCACAAGCTGTGCCATTCAGTGCACGAAACAGTCTGGAGGAGAAACATTTTACGCACCAAAATAATGGGCGTTAATTCTGGTTAGTGTTCTTCAGTTGTACATTTTTTAGATAAATATTTGTTCTTTCAAACACTGAATAAAATGTGGACAATTCCGAAGCCAAAATACAGAGGTGATTTGTGCGCCGAGGGGGAGATTGCTGTGAACATTGGCGGAGTCAGAGTGGTGCTTTTCGGGGACGTTTTGAACCGCTACCCGGAGAGCAGACTGGCGGAACTGGTGAACTGCTCAACTCAGAATTCCGAAGTTATCTCGTCTCTTTGTGATGACTTCGACCCCGGCAGAAAAGAATTTTACTTTGACCGAGATCCTGATGCATTCAAGTGCATAATCGATGTTTACTACTTTGATGAAATCCACATCAAACGCGGCATCTGCCCCATCTGTTTCATCAAGGAGATGGAGTTCTGGAAAATAGACCAAAGTGTTTTAGATGAGTGCTGTAAAAGTTACCTAAGTGAGAAGGAGGAAGAGCTGAAAGAGATTGCCGGCAAAGTGAAAGTCATTCTGGAGGATCTGGAGGTGGATCAGTGCATTACGCGCACCCAGCGGTGCCAGAGGTTCCTGTGGAAGCTGATGGAGAAGCCCGGTTCCTCCCTGCCGGCGCGCATCATCGCCATCGCATCCTTCCTCTCTATTTTGGTCTCAGCGGTGGTGATGTGTGTGGGAACCATCCCGGAGCTCCAGGTGACAGACGCCGAAGGAAAACTGGTGGAGCATCCGACTCTGGAGGCGATAGAGACCGCCTGCATGTTGTGGTTCACCACGGAGTTCTTACTGCGTCTCGCCTCATCTCCGAACAAGCTGCACTTTGCGCTCTCCATCATGAACATCATAGACTTCATGGCCATCATGCCTTTCTACGTGGTCCTGTCTCTTACCTACCTCGGCACCTCATCCATGATGGAGCTGACAAACGTCCAACAGGCTGTCCAGGCGCTCCGCATCATGCGCATCGCGCGTATTTTCAAGCTGGCCCGCCACTCCTCCGGACTGCAGACTCTGACCTACGCGCTGAAGAGGAGCCTCAAAGAGCTAGGGCTGCTGCTCATGTACATGGGCGTCGGGATCTTCGTGTTCTCAGCTCTAGGCTACACCATGGAACAAAGCCACCCGGAGACACTTTTCAGGAGCATCCCGCAGTCTTTCTGGTGGGCCATCATCACCATGACCACAGTGGGCTATGGAGACATCTACCCCAAAACCACCCTCGGCAAGTGCAACGCAGCCGTGAGCTTTCTGTGCGGGGTCATAGCCATCGCCCTGCCCATCCATCCCATCATCAATAACTTTGTTATCTTCTACAATAAGCAGAAAGTGCTGGAGACTGCAGCAAAGCACGAAGTGGAGCTGATGGAGCTGAAGTCTGGCAGGGAGGCGCGCAGGAAAAGCAGCGATTAAAAGAAGACAATGTCAGTTTGAACAAGTTTAGACTTTACGCACAAAACATAATTTAATAACTGAGGTGAACCAGACTAAAGTTAAAAACATAGGCCACAGGGAAAGATTGTATATAATTCGTTATGTAATTGTATTCAAGACCTCGATATAAGACTTTTGAAGGACATACAGATGCTTTAGGACAGCTCCACACACAGTGATGCCTGTACATAGCGCCATAATGCAGTTGCTGTCTTTGCTCTGCTGTTGCTGTCATTCTGCAACATGTCATGTACTGCTTCTACCTGTGGTCCAGTTGTCTCATCCAGTCCTGTCATTGTAAAGACGATTGCAGAATTAAAATTTGTGCATGAAAAAAAATGTCCAAAAAGAATCATAACACCAACTACAGTGTATGTCAATCAAGACGTTCAGTGTTAATAAAAGGCGACAAAATCCACAAAGCCTCTGTGCAAAAATGTATATGAAGTGAATAAGATGCTTTGGCATCATTAAGCTGGGAGCTTTTACAGATAACAGGAAACTGTCTCTCTGTGTTTTCACAGTGTTTCATTGTTGTAGAGGGAAGGTAGTAACATAAAGAGGGGATTATGAAGTCTCATTTTATCCTCAGGCACACTTTGGAATATTGTGGATTATGTGACTATATTATATACATTCCCAATATATTTACACTGGACAAGCATTCAGAAGAGATATTTGAAATAGACAATACAATGAGGAAGGAACAATGATTACAGCAAACAAAACTACTTTAACGGACAAATTGGTGCCTCACTATTGCTTTAACCTTTGCTTTAACCCTCCTATTACGTGCAAATTTACCGAAATCTTTTATCCTTGGGTTCAATTTGACCCCAGCAATTAAACCCCTGGACAATTAAATAATTAAAACTGTTGCCCAAGTTTATGTGTAAGTAGCCCTTTAAATAAAACTGAAAAATTATGGCAATCACTTATTTAAAAATGTTAAACATTGAGGGGAGTCAAATGGACCCCAAAAATAATAGGAGGGTTAATAGTTGCAATCTGATGCATGTTTCTTTACAGGCATATGTGCTGCATAAGGACCTGGAGCCACAGTGTGGAGGATTTGTTATTTTAAGAAATATCTCATATTGGAAAATTAACTAAGCTAAATTATGCATGACTAACAATGAGTCATAAGATGCATCACCCAGAAAACAGGTGTGCGACTAAAAAATTCATCCCCTGAATCAGATTACTCCAAAGGTGCTTGCAGAGGAATATTTGATGTGAAGACAGCTATCAGAATTGACTCATTGATCCCACTGACTGGTTATAATTGAAAGTGTGTGATGTGATAATTCCCACGAGGAAGGCAAGTGAAAGTCTGACTAGAAATCCAGCTTTCAAAAAAAAGGGCTTTCATCACACGCTCCTTCATTTTAATATAAAAATGTGCTTGTTCATAAATCCTAATAAAGCCCAGGAAGACATTAACCTCAGACGACTTCTGAAGAGTCGCTGACGATGCTGTATCCTTTAATCCTGCTCTGATGTGAACAGATATCCTGTTGCAGTACAGGTGTCTGGACAAGCTGACTTATCTGTTCAAGCTAAGTAAAGTGTGCGTGCGTTACATCAATCTGTTTACACGGTCAAATTATGGGAACAAAAGACAAGTCCTCAGAACGTAACACTAGTTTTAATCTTAACCCCCTAAACCCCAGGCAGTTTATTTTTTGACATTTTCAGTTGAAACAACATGGTCGGTAAGAGCTCTACCACTGTAAGAACAAAACTGAACAACTGTGGGTTCTATACTGAAGAGAAACTGGGGAGAGTTTCAGAATGAACTGAATTGCATTTAAAAATAACTATTTACATTTGACCTAAATCCATAATGTAGGATATAAATAACAGCCTTGCACCAGTGAGTCATTAAACACTGGTGTGATTGAACCTTTTCTAAAAATCCTCAGCTGCGACCCCACCGCGTGTGATGCAACACAAATGAAGCCCAACAGATGCTATATCCATTTTAGTCATACCAGGTGGCCCCTTCGCTGTCAGTGTCACGCTTGACAACCTTCTGAATATAGCGGCAGGTTGTGTTTTATAGATGAGGCCTGTTCCTGTTACAGGGACCTCCAGGGCGGAAAGGGTTAAGACCGGGTTTCAGGTTTGGGCGCTATTTTTTTTTTCCGATGGTCATTTCGTCAAATGAAGCGATTATTCAGGAGATACTTCTGAGGACTTGGACAAGAAGCACAACCTGGAAACAAGAATGTAAACAAACAGCAGCATCCAAAGCTGTGAGTATGATACTGGCTGTCTAGTCTCTCGGAAAAAGCCTAAAAAAAGACAGAGAGAATAACAGTATGGTTTCTCTATCCTTTAGCCTGTGATTCATCCACCATATCTGTTCACACAGACTGATGTGGAAGCAGCAGAACACCTTGTTCTCCTATTGGTCAGCATCATTGATATGCTGGTGTCATGAGACAAGAAAAGGAAAAAATAAATCTGACATACTAGTCTTTTTTGGGGGGCGATATTGTGAGGAATCCAAGACGTATGCACTATGACACATTTATGGTCCTGCTGCCCAACATCTTCTGAGTCGGATTATTATCAGGCTGATGTTGTGCAGGCTGAACCTGGCACAAGTCTCCAGGAAATCAATGTAACATCCTTTGAGGTGATGGAAACTCTGTGTGTCTTATGAGTAACATCCCTATGCAGGACGTCATACCGTACATTTTTAGGGATAAGGAATCCACACAGACGGGTGACAAATTAAAGGAAAAAACAACATAAAGTGACTCAGTAAGGTGCTGGGTAATCACGTGAAACCAGAACAGCTTCAGTGCACCTTGAAATCGATTCGACCCATCACTTTTAGGCATTTCAACCATTTAGTCAGTATTTTTAGCTAACCGTCTGGACTTCTTTGCTCAGTTGCTAACTCCGTGCACTCTAATTTGCAACTCATCACTGAATTTATGTGGATTTTTTAATTAACCAAGCTACCCAACAACTTCATTAGTATCTGTCTGGCTGTAGACTGCTGCACAAGATTATCATGTTGACAATTAACACAGCCATTTCATGTCAAGTTAACCAAAGTTCCCATCCATCTGGAGTCTATCCCAGCTGACTGAGGGTGAAGGCAGGGGACACCCTGGACAGGTCACCAGTCTATCACAGGGAGAAACAGACAGAGAGCCCAGCACAGTCACATTCACAGAGTCACCAATTAACCTCTGCATGTTTTTGGACTGTTGGAGGAAGCTGGAGCACCCGGTGAGAACCAACATCAAATATTTTATTTTTATCATTTTTAATCTGTTGAAAGGCTTAAATGGTGTAATTAACCCTATTCAGGAGGTCTTCTGGGGTCCACTGGACCCAAAGAAAGAATATGTGCAATAAATTTGTTGGTATTCAGCATAAACTTTTATACTATGTTTAATAAATTTTCGGATAAGCTGACTTATTTTTGGCTTCAAATGCATGACAAATGTCCCTCTTCTTATATTAAAAAAAAAAAAAAAAAACTTCAAAAAAAAATACCTGTCACCTAAACCAAATGGCCTGGGGTCCAAAAGACCCCAAAAGTCCTGAATAGAGTTAAGGAGAAACAAAAAATTAAATTAAATTAAATTAAATTAAACCAGCATCACCACGTCTTTATGTTGATTTTTAGAGTGCTGCCGAACACGTCAGTCCAAAGTCTCCCATCGGTGTTCATTTAGGTTAAGACCACTGAAGATCAACGCATAGGATTTACAATATTTTCACCAAACCAGTCTTCTCATGTTGTCTCAATCATCCTGGAAGAGACCAATCCCACCAGGATAGAAATGTTGCATCACAGAATAAAGGTGATCACTCAGAACAACTTTGTATTGATTTGCAGTGACCTTTACCTTTAAGGAGACGAGTGGACAAGTGGATTCTCTTTATGTTAATGCAAGGCTCTGTGGGCCTGGACTGATGCTTTCTTTTTTTAATTCTATAAAATCCTACAGAAGCTGCCTTCAGTGTGCTCCAGCGGTTTATTGTTTCTGCCTACAGACTTCTTGATGAAGACTGCTTGATTGGTCAGACTGAAAAGTTTCCACCGCTGAGATTGGACACAGAGTACACACAGGCACAGGTCAGTGTTCTGCAATCTAAATGTACTGCTGTTCCTGTGAGAGATGTGTCTGCATCTGTGTGTGTGTGTGTGTACACATCTATCCATCTGTCTGTACCTTCATCTCCATGTTGCCGTATAACTTTCTGTGCTCATCCGTGCTCGCACATCGTGTATGACACGATCCAAAGCAGTGGTCTGTGAGAAACTGCCGTCCCCAGCGGGAAAACACTTCAAAGTAAGGCTACATACACCCACACACACACTCTGAACACTGAAAAACGCACCACCCCACCCGCTGTTCCTCTCTTGTCTCCTTCTCACTCCTTCGTCCTGCCTCCACCTCCTCATCCTCCGTCTCTGATGCTGATCTGTCAGCTTCACTGGCTGAGAGAACGGTCAGATGCAGCGATATGTAAAGCGCTGCCGCTGTCATATTTTGAGGGCGTGAAGTGAGGCAAAACTTTACAGCTTCAGCTTTCATAAATGTGCACTTCAGAGGTAAAAAAAAATGGAGGGAATAAATCTCTGACTGTTCATCAACATTCAAGTAGGAAAGATGTGCATGAGGGTGAAGGGAAATTGAGATAATTTAGCTGACATTGACTTCAACCAAATATAGCACTTCATATGTTATGCATCAGCGGGCATTACAGATGAGTCAGTCTCACTCCTCCTGTATTGCAAGGACACACACACACACAGGTTGAAGCTCTAAGTTGCTGACCAGAGTCTGGTATGACCTTTAAAAGTGTAAAGGACAAACTGATCTCAAGTCAAACAGTGCAGCGGTTGTATGATCATACATGTTGGAAGTGTAGTTATTTTTTAAGCCCTCCTGCCATGTTTGATCAATGGCAGCCTGCGCACAAACACATCAGAGACGCAAAAACCT